TGATATGACCACTCATTATGATTGCTTCAGGTTTAGGGACTGCTTAGTAGTGTTGGAATGTTACTAATTCCGTTTTGGTTGTTGCTATAATGCTCGTATAAACCGATAGATCTATTTTAAAAATACCAATGAAAACAATGGATCAAAAGATTAGTGAAGATCAGTGAAGGTTAGTAAAGAAAGTGTTTAATCCCATGGATTAATAATACAATACTAGCTAATACCGTAGTTATATCAGCAATCCGTACAAGACTGAGAACCAATTCGCGGCTAATTTACCACAATTTCATATGAGCTTACATCCTACTAAGGTACTTCAAGACGCTTATAATGGTTAGTAAGCTTGTCTCACTAAAACAATTACGGCTGAGTAGTGAGTTCGATCCTCACTGGGCGCATTGTAACACATCTAAGCTACGCTTGGAAAATCAGAGGCCTTTACCCCCGAATTTTTCTGGAGGGATTGGCAGAGGATTAGAAGTGGGGTTTTCCCGTAAGGATGGATGCTGTTGATGTTACATCTGTTCCGCCTTGGAGGCCTTTCCTGCTTTCCCTCCACCGTTGTGTGACATCTGTTAGGTAGCGGTGGTATGACCAGCTATAACTAGCTTAGACAAGCTAGTAAAGTCGTAAATTAACAACAAGTCGGTTCGCAGCCTCGTACAGCTTAGACAAGCTTTGATCAGTTTAGACAAGCTAAGACCAGCTCAGACCAGCAGCCCGAGTGGAAACACTCGGGTTTCCCACGTTAAAAACCAATCTTTTGTCCCAACCTGGTTTCGTGGCTGGAGTCATGTAAATCTTGCGCTTACGCCCTACTAATAGAGAGTGGACGAGTCTATAAGCTCGTAGTCCCGGTTAATAAAATTCCAAGGCAAATACTCGAACAAAATTTTAGTGAAGAAATTGTTTAATCACAAGGAGTGGAAGAGTCTATGTCTAATAATTAGTGTACAGTAGGTTGGTCGTCCATCTATATAATAGTTGTATTAAATTATAGTCTTTTCAACCATTGAGCTTTTCTCATTTAATTACACCACCCGCACAATCAATCTTACAGCACCTGGTATTCCCGATCCGATACTCATCCAGGTGCTGACCAGGTTGAACGTTGCTTAATTGCGTTGATCGGATGAGAATTCTTGGTTTTCTAATTTCAAGAAGAAGAAGAAAAAAAAACGTATTAGAGAAGTGACTGGCGGATAAAATATGTGGAAATTGTTTGGTATGCTATTCTATAAGTATTAGACTAATGATGTTTGATCTGTGTATATGTCTTTTTTTTTTCCATCTTTGTTATCAATTTGAAACACAAGTGAATAATTTTGAACTCTAAGGGAAATACACAACCTCCAATACAGGAAAATAAAAGAAAGCAAGACACAAACGGGATAACTAACATCAGCAATCAGAATATTCCAGGTGTAACTGCAAAATTGTCCAATTGTTAGACTAAGATGTGAATCGTAGTATCTTAGAAATGATTAAATATATCTTACTGGAATTCTCTGAGCTTTTCATAACACTATTGGACTCTACTTTGAGCAATAAGAAAGTTGAAAGACCGGCTAGAAAAGACTATAATTTAATACAACTATTATATAGATGGACGACCAACCTACTGTACACTAATTATTAGACATAGACTATTCCACTCCTTGTGATTAAACAATTTCTTTTCTAGCCGGTCTTTCAACCTTTGAGCTTTGAGAGATTGATCAAAAGAGAAATCAGGTGTCAGGCAGTGCTCACAAATATATAGGGAGGTATACCCATACACTGTGGTATCATCTGCATAGATATATCAACTAAGGACCTGAAATTGCTCATGGGGTGATCATTGATAAGAAAAAAAATCAGAAAGAGCAGAGGGCCTTACAGGACGTCATAATTGATCTGATGGGCATCACGTGACTGACCATTAACTGATCGAAAATATTCATCTAGAAATTATATATTAAAATAACTTCAATGTGATTGCTTTACAGCAAAGCGTTCGCGTCCTGGGTAAGACGATAAACTACACCCGACAGCAAGGCCTTTGCTCGGGTAGGTTTTGAAAAGCGTGGAACCACGTCTAAATTGCGGATGTTCCCAGGTTCACCCTGATCGGGGGCTGGTAGCACCTGTTATGGTCCCAGCTATGTGCAAATAGTTAACCCCCCTCAAACTGGCGTCCAAACACTATGAACGTGTAAAAATCGGTTTTAATACCAGCAATACATTTTTGAAGGAAAAATTATTACCAGGAATACATTATTACCAACAATTCATATTTGGAAAAATATTACCAGCAATACATTTTATGGAAAAGAAAAAGAATCCCCAGCAAAAAATCTTGTCAGCATTAAATAATCCATTGAGGTTGATATGCCGTAAAACCAACAAAAAAAATAATAATAAATAAAATAAAAACTTACATTATATTTACGTTCTTTGGACTGTTATCCTCATATTTATTGCCATATTCCCAACCTCCAGGACACATAGCCCAGTAGATAAAGACGTTGGTCATATCCAGTTACTAGACCTAAATTGTGAGTTCAATACCAGGCCACAGCAGTGGTGAACCAAAAAAACTAGGAGAGTTGAGTTAAAGGAGAATTAACTGAGACATCCAGAAGAGGCATGACACTTGGAACTAGAACAATCTACAATCAGTGGACGAAATAAAGGGTTCAGTTCTAAATTCCAGTAACCTGAAAAAGACCGAAACGATGTGAATATAGCAATGAAGATAAGGATAACAGTTCGAATAATGTAAATAATGTAAGTAATCATAATACCTCATCTCAGAGATGTAAACAGAAACAAATACTTACTAATACTACCGTTGTCTGGCACAAGGCTATGAATATACGCTGCTCAGTGAGGACTTGTCAACCAGAAGCTGATATTAATTTTTTTTTTGTACGTTTTTATTTCAATTGGAATTTTTAAATTTATTCAAATGACTTATTCGTTATTTTGGGGATGAATTATTTATTTTATTATTTTAGCATTATCGTTATAACCTTTTTCCTTTGTTTTAAAATGTGTATTTCTTTTCTTTTTCTTTAATATTCCCGATCTTACTTATCGTCTGCTTTCGTGTATTCCACTCTATATATTTACTACTTCCCTCACTATCATTTATTCGCTTTCTTTACGGCAGCCATTTTGAATCCGTTTCTTCAAAGATTTTTTTTTCTTTCCATTAATTTTAATTTCAATCTCACTGCACATTTTCAGAATTTATTTATTTATTCATTTAATTATTTATATTTCTTTCTTTCTATTTGTTTTAATTCAAGCTTCTCTGAGAGATTCACCCACTTCCTACACATCGACGTAGCTTTGCCATCCTTCCATGTTCCTCTATTTTCCGTCTCGTCTATTTGCAATGCTAGCAAAAGAAATACGGGCGAATATATATTTGGAATGTTATAGAATTTTCCAATCCGCGGAGTAGAAGATTTTTTCTATACATCGCATGTAGAGTCATCACTGGTTCAGAAGTGAACTGTTCCAGATTCTCGGCTATGTGCGCCGTTTATTATTTGGGCGCATGCGTAGTTACGTGCAGAAACTATGAGTACGTAGAGCGGGAATTCCAGTTTGCGAAATACAATGTAATTTAACATGAACACATTCTGCACGAATCAAATACGTTAAGACTTCTGCCTGTTGTAGATTTGAAGGGTTATGAATTCGAAAACTCTCTGATATATATATATATATATATATATATATATATATATATATATATATATATATTTTAAAATAAATCGTTAACTAAATCTATCTATCTATCACTATTTCTCTCTTTTCATTCATATATATATATATATATATATATATATATATATATATATATATATATGAAAAAATTAAAGTATTTTTTTTTTGATAATTATATTTAATTAATTCATCGAGTCTGATAGAAATCTCAACAGAATGCAGAAAGCACTGGACGGCCGTTTCGTCCTATATTTGGGACTCATCAGCAGGGCGCATCCACTACCGAGACAGTTAGGTTGTCAAGCAAACATGATACCAACTGTTCCACTGGGAATATGTGAGCGAGCGGCGCCTTTTTGATTTCTGATTTGCAATCTCTTCGTCACCGAGGCCCATTTGGAACAGTTGGTATGATGTTTGCTTTGACAACCTATCTATCAGGGAAATTTATCCTCGGTAGTGGATACGCACTTTTGATGAGTCCCAGATATAGGACAGAAAATAAATCCAATGTTTCTGCATTCTGTTGAGAGTTTTATCAACTCGATGAATTAATTAGTATATATATTGCTTCATTTTTTACAAAATTAACTAAATCTATCACTGAGGATTTCTCTTATATATACATATATATAAAACATTATTTAAATAATTCATCGAGTCTGATAGAAATATATATATATACATCGCTACATTCTTGCGTCATTAAGGAAATCAATCTGTTTCAATCAATCTATCTATCTATCTATCTATATATATATATATATATATATATATATATATATAAATATGTGATATATTTTTCATATATCAAGAACTGTACTGGAGTACCTACTCTTTCTACTTACTTATTACTTTTCTTGTTTCGAATTCCACCACACCCTGTAACCTCTTGTGTGCTAGTGACTGTACTGCCTTCCTTGAGTTGATACTCATTACATATATATATATATATATATATATATATATATTCTTTGTGTAATCATATTCTATCTATCTATCTGTCAATCTAGCTAGCTAACTATTCATGTGTGGATGTTTGTGTGAACCTAACCAAAGTTGTCTATGTTTAACTCTACAACTATCTTTGGATGTATTTGCCTATGTAAGTGTTCTTATATTTATCGCAGATTCATTCTGTCTTATTTATTCACTGACTCATTCGACCCCACTGCATCAGTGACAAATTCACGCCCCCCTCTCCCTCACTGTATTACAACCTATTTATTATTTTATTTTTATAAATGGAAAATAATCTATATTACATAAAGCTCCAGCTAATGGTAAATCTTTGTCACACCCGACTACCTATCTAGCTATTTAAAATCTTTTTCTGTACATATTTATTTTATCTATCTATCTATCTATCTATCTATCTATCTATCTATCTATCTTTTATCTATGTTGTCATTTTTTCATATCTATCTATCAATTCATTATCTATCTATCTATCTATCTATCTATCTATCTATCTATCTATGTTCATAACTGTATATCTATGTTTATCAGTTTCTTCATATCTATCTATCTATCTATCTATCTATCTATCTAACTATCTATCTATCTCACTTAGTTTATATCTATCTTGCAATTAATAATTAATCCTTTCTTTCTCTGTGTATCATATTTTCTCAAGAAATCTTTCTTTCTCAGTCTATTCATATCTATTTATCTATCTATCTATCTTTGTTCATAACTGTATATCTATATTTATCAGTTTGTTAATATCTATCTATCTATCTATCTATCTATCTATCTATCTATCTATCTATCTATCTATCTCACTTAGTTCATATCTATCTATCTATCTAGCTAGCTATATATAGCTAGGATTTCTAGAAAAGGTATTTTTCTTTCTCTCTGTGGGTTTCTTTATATTTTCTCCTTTGTGGTTCTATCTTTTTATTTATTCATTTTGGTATCTATCTATCTATCTATCTATCTATCTATCTATCTATCTATTCTTGCCTGTTCATATGTATCAGCCTGATCATATCTATCTATCTCAGTCTGCTCCTTATCCATCTATTTCTCTCTGTTTGTTCAGATCTATCTATCTATCTATCTATCTATCTATCTATCTATCTATTAGTTCATATCTATCTATCGATCTGTCTATCTCAGTCTAGTCATATCTATCTACCTATCTATCATTTCAGTGTTCTCATTATCTATCTATCTAAGTTTCTAAAATATATATATCTCAGTCTGTTCGTATCTTTCTGTCTGTTTGTCACATTCTATAAAATCCTTCTCCCAGTCTATTCATATAAATCTATTGATCTTACTATCTTGCTAGTTATCTTTGGATAAATACGTTTTGGCTAGATCCTTTGGATAGATACGGTTTCGTCCAGCTCATCAGAATCTGTGTGTCACGACCCTTCTGGACATAGGCGATCATGGTTCTTCATAACACCCTATCCATTATGGCTCTTATCAGCTTTTTTATCCTTTTGCGAAATCTCCTGCCAGTCGTTCTGACTTCCTTTCACATAAGCTCGTCAATTATGGTGGTTCGCCAATTCGTTTTCCCTTAATATGCCACGTGACAGTTAATTCATACAAGCTCTTTTTTCTCATCATGTGCCCAAGGTATTACAACTGTCTTTGCCTGTTTCTGTATACGTGGGATCTTTCTCTTGACATTTTCTTTAACACAATCGTCGTATCGAGAAAAAAATTGCTCGAAAATTATTCGTAAACAATAATTCTAAAAAAAAAACAAAAACAACATCTATTTGAATGGGAAATTGTTTGAATGAAACAATTCGGTTCAAACAACTGAGTTGAGAGAGAGAATACTGATTTACCTAGAAGTAATAACGCCAGTTGAGGATAGCATAAAGCTTTTTGTGCAGCAAGTGTCATCCCATCATCCCACAATTTGGATATTCTTAGACGCTCTTAAAACAGAACAGGTCTTGTAAAAAAAATTGCATTGCAAAAGTAAGAACAAGTTGCCAAAATATCAAGAGCGTCAAGAAATACATCGACGTAAATAGAAAACTTTAAAAAAAAATAACGAGAATCATCTTGAATAAGTTGGAAAATGATCCTGGGATTATATATAAACCGTGTTTCAATAACTTGGACCGATTTTAAATGTGAATTAAGATTAAACGTCTAACTATTTTTTCTTTTTCTTTCATATTTTGCGATATTTTTTCACACATAATTGCCATGACTTAAATAACATGATCCAATAGAGAAATAAATTAATTTTCACCAATTTCCTCCTTTATTGTGTACAATTCACCCGTTTTTTTTGAGCCAGCTCCAATATTGGAGTTTCATGGGAATTTATTCATTCCGAAAAGCGGTCCGAAAACCCGCATGTATAGCACATGAGATTTGATTATAATGGTGAACGTTTCGTGCAGGGCCATTCACACTTTTTGAAGAGCCGATTACAGAGACCTGGTGCACTTACGTGCCACAAGGTCCCCAAACGAATTTTCCGCAGGTATTGAATTCAGAGTTTTCCTTCTCCTAAACCAATGCCACCCATAGCATAGAACCCAGTCTGTCCTGCTATTTACCCATAGCTGGATATTTGAATAAGATATACATTCACAGTTTTCCCAAGGTTATTTCACGTAAGTGAATGTAATGGATTTGACTGGAATTCAAACTCAATCTCCCCGATTCCTCAATCCAAAAAATCATTATCCATTTTCTCCACCGTGCCTATTTTTCAATAATACATTTGATTTATTTTACTATGACTTTGATCCATCTTAATGAAACACCCTTTATATCTATCTATCTATCTATCTATCTATCTATCTATCTATCTATCTATCTATCTCTTTTCATTATCTATCTATCTATCTATCTATCTATCTATATGTTGAAACTTGACTAATGCATGGAATAATAATACAACACAAAATGTACTTAGAGCAAAATGTATTGAAACAAGAAAGTGTACACAATATTTACATATAGTCTTTTGTATATTCCTGGGAAGACCGTTCCTGGAGAATGTGTTGACTTAGTCGCAGTCGGGCAGAGTCTCTGGATTGAATCTCTTGATTCCTCTCACCGTCTTCCCGGTACCAACCATATTTATATGATCGGTACTCCACTATGCAAATTAGGTGGATCCTACCACAACACTATATATATATTTGAACTTTATTTCAATCTTCATGACCTTCCGATCCTTAGCTATGATTAATTAATGATAAACATGTCATTTTTTATGATTGATTTCATCACGATTCTTCTGTTACATTTGGAGAGTAATTATACTTTCTTATTGCTCAAAGTAGAGTCCAATAGTGTTATGAAAAGCTCAGAGAATTCCAGTAAGATATATTTAATCATTTCTAAGATACTACGATTCACATCTTAGTCTAACAATTGGACAATTTTGCAATTACACCTGGAATATTCTGATTGCTGATGTTAGTTATCCCGTTTGTGTCTTGCTTTCTTTTATTTTCCTGTATTGGAGGTTGTGTATTTCCCTTGGCATTCAAAATTATTCACTTGTGTTTCAAATTGATAACAAAGATGGAAAAAAAGACATATACACAGATCAAGCATCGTTAGTCTAATCCTTATAGAATAGCATACCAAACAATTTCCACATTTTTTATTCGCGAGTCTCTTCTCCAATACGTTTTTTTTCTTCTTCTTGAAATTAGAAAACCAAGAATTCTCACCCGATCAACGCAATTAAGCAACGTTGAACCTGATCAGCACCTGGATGAGTATCCGATCGGGAATACCAGGTGCTGTAAGATTGAGTGTGCGGGTGGTGTAATCAAATGAGAAATGGTAATGCCGAGTTCGAATTCTAGTCGGTTTCGCTATATTCACTTATGCGCAAATACATTGGGAAAAACTGTGAACCCACCTCTTCTCCCCCCCAGCTATGGATTAATCACTGGGACTTGTATTAATAAATCATTATTAACTAAAAATAAAACAATTGAAAAATATTTTCTGGCTTTAAATAACCTGCAAAAGGTGAAAATCCGTAAAAGAAAAATCAATCGACAAGTCGACTCTAAATAAATGAACATAACATTCATTAAGTTTTACAAATATAACAAGAAAAGTAGTTTTTATTTACTACATAGGTTTGTTTAATACTGTACAGCACTAAATGTAAAAAAAGAAAGATGGAAAGATTATGTTGCGCCGGTTGTAATTCAAAATTGTACATAAAATTGATTAAAACTTTTAAGGAGATTTGAAGACAAGAGTGGGCGGAATAAATGGACGGTAGAGCAGGGTTCAGGATAAAAAAAACAAACAATAAGTCGAATATTATTCAGAGCTACAGAGAGCGGGATATATAAATACCATTGGGAAAGATATGTATATAACTCTTCTCCTCCAAGGTACCGGTTAAATAGTAAGAATTGTATCAGAAATTCAATTTTATTCAAAATTTCTTACAATGCAAAAATGTTTCGGCATTAAACGACTCCAAAAAGGTTGATAAACCATAAAAAAAAAAACAAATCAATCGACCAATAAAAGAAGAGACCATCTTGGTGTTAGCTTAGAATTAAAAATGATATCTTTTTGTCTCATCAGGTATAGCGTGGTTTAGCGCAGATTCATCCCTCATTCGGCTCCGTTTGGCGTGGTGTAGTTGAAAACGTCCTAGGCTTAGAAATCGGATATTCAATTTCGAATCCACTTACACGAACTTACCCTTCGGAAAGGTATGAACCCATCTCTTCTCCTCTAAGATATACATTGAAATACAAGACAGACTTGGTTCTATAGCCTTGATTGGCAACCGGTCTATCGCAGTAAGTAATGACAAACTATTGCATGGAAATTATTTTGCCTAGTCAGTCATGAATCGAAAAAGACATGATCGCCCAAGGGTGTATCAAATAGGACACTTAATTACTGACTGAATCATACTTAACATCATTTTGATTATTAAAATCCGGGATTATTGTCCGAATGTTTGTTGTTATCGCAACGCTTCAGGAGTTGTGGCCTCCGTCCTTCTTCAGGCGCTTCTCGATCCGGGTAACCTGGAGATAATTTACAACTGAACACTTTATCTAATTTACGGAGATTAAGGTTCTTCCTCAATCGGTGGCATTTTGAGGGATATTGTTGTGTTTTATATTAAGCAATGCTTGGTTATTGCTGGCTCACTTTTGCCTGCATCACCCGCCCTATTGACTGGTCTCACAATTATTATGTTACCAAAATACATGCTTTCCGTCCTGGGTATGACGATAAACTACATCCAACAGCAAGGCCTTTGATCAGGTGTGTTTGAGGAGCATGGAACCACCTCTTAATTGCTGGTGTTTCCAGGTCCACCCTGACCCGGAGTGATACAACATGTCAGGGTCCCAGCTATGGTCAAATAGTTACCCCCCACCTCCTTCAAAAAAGGTTAAAACACTATGAAAGTATAAAAATAAGTTTTTAATACCAGCAATACTTCTTTGGAAATATTATTACTAGAAATATATTTTTGAAAAAGAAAAATATTTCCAGCAGTATATTTTTTGGAAAAAAAATATTACCACAATAAAAATATGGTCGGCATTAAATAACTCCTTGAGGTTGATATGCCGTAAAACAAAACAAACCAAAACAAACTAAATAAATGCTTTAAATCGCAGTTGGACAAAAATAACGTAAAGCTTTAGACATTTTCAGTGGAAGGAGAACGATTTATTCCCTTTCATGAGCATACATTGGAACAATGGTGTGATCAGCGTTTCTTTAGTATTTTCTCTTTTACTCTCGCCTTTCTCGTCTTCTTCTCCAACCAAATTGTAAGAAAGCAGACGTTATTATTAGTTTTGGCCAGAAAATCCTGACTCACCTAGAAAGAGGGAAGAAAGCAACAAAATTCTACGGAGCAACACCAACATTTATTTTTCAAAATGAATTCCATCATTCACGACGATCTTCTGCCAGCGATCAGCGAGAACCCAAATCCGTCCCAGACACCAGAAAAAAAAATGTAAACAAGCTTCCTTCACTAAGTGGGCTATAGAGCGGAATAAGCCATTGTCACTCGGAGCAGCATCGGGACTGAAATGTGGATGTGGAAGAATCTCAACACTGTTGAACTTCTCTTTCGTCAACATGGCAGTGTGTGAATTTGAAAGAAAAAATGAAACAAAGC